AGGAAGATGGATAGTGAGAAATAACTAATTTTCCCCCCACCACAAGCCCCACTTACAATAATGGAAGGAAGGTAGGAGATTAAGGTCTGCTGATCTTCACCAGATCTTCCGTTGATTTGCAGTCTTCTTTCAAGGAGATGGTTCATGCAGTAAAGTATCTCCCAGCTGAATTTCTTCAAAAATGTCTAGTCCACGTGGATGATTTATGTTGATATTTTTGCTCTTCCTGTAGCAATGCTTTTTTGAGGCCAACCGTGCTTTCTTTCTGCTTGTCTGCAATGCTCATCAATCTGCCTGACCATTACTTGATTCTATCTCTGCTGCTGAATTATTATCTGGAAAGCCATGATTACTTTTTCCCTTGCAGCCCTGAAGAATTTCATACTGGCCTACAAAAAAAAAAATAAATGACAAAGCGTTTGGTGTCTTTTCGTTTCCCTGTTATGTACAGATTTTTCTGTCATCCCTGGCTTCTTAAATCCAACTGTCCTTTCTCTGGACTTGTTATGTGCTAATGGAAGTTAGTAGCGCCCCCCCCCAAAAAAAAGATAATGCTTGCATTTTTCAAAAATGTAAATTGAGAGCTGGATGACTTAGGACCTGCTGGCTTCATGTGAACCTCAACATAAATTTACAGCCTTCTTGAGAGAAGAAACCTGTTAAAAGATATTTTTCCCCAGACCCCTGGTCTAGTGGGAGAAAGGGAGGAGATGGGAGGAACATAAAGGAGACCCCACTCCTATTTTTGCCTTCGGACTTACCCACTTAATAAGAAGAAAACTATTACAAAATAGAGAGAGAGAGGGAGGGAGGAGGAGGAGGAAGAGGAGGAGGAGCAGCAGCTCTGGTTGAATTCTTATTTTGTCCCTATGTCCTTATTTGAGGAATCATAAAGTTTGCTGGAATTTTTTAATTGCCTCTGGTAGAGACCATTGATACGGTTGTAATATTTAAACCTTGGCAGCTTTAAAAAAAAAAAAAAAGCAGAATCAGACTTCCGCTGGTAGTTGATGAAATACCACCCCAAGTTGTGAGGTGGACTGAGAAATTGAAAGGGGGGGGGGAGGAAACCATTCCCAGAGCCACAAAGATCAAAGCAGTTTTGTATCAATTATCATGAAAAGAACCTGGGCCCGTCTCTACAGTTCCCAGGAACTGAGCCTGACTCAACAGAGACTTCTTTACATGTTACCTTTTGATTAGATTGAATAGCTCTGTAGTTTATTACTGGAAGGGAAATAGGGTGGCGAGGGAGCTGATAATTCTGCAGTTGCACTTTCCTCCTTCCAATCAAGACCAGAAAGAGTTAATCAAGCACCTAGGAGTGCTGGTTAATAGTATTCATTAATTTTAGGGCAACAAAAAACTCTGGTCCATTTCCTTGTGTGTGCGTGTGTGTGTGCGTTTTCAGTGTAAAGTGCTCAAGTTTCCTTCTTTTGTGAAGGAAGTAACAAGTCTGATCTGCTTACTGTTTGGGCAACTCTCATTCCTGACAGTTAGAACAATTAACCAGTGGAACCACCTGCCTCCAGAAGCGGTGAGTGCGCCAACACTGGAGGTTTTTAAGAAGAGACTGGACAGCCATTTGTCCAAAATGGTACAGGGTTTCCTGCCTGAGCAGGGGGTTGGACTAGATGACCTCCAAGTTCCCTTCCAACTTTATTATTATTATTATTATTATTATTATTATTATTATTATTATTATTATTATTATTATTATTATTATTATTATTATTATTATTGAATGCTCCAACACTGGAAGTTTTTAAGAAGAGACTGGACAGCCATTTGTCCGAAATGGTATAGGGTTTCCTGCCTGAGCAGGGGGTTGGACTAGATGACCTCCAAGTTCCCTTCCAACTTTATTATTATTATTATTATTATTATTATTATTATTATTATTATTATTATTATTATTATTATTATTGAATGCTCCAACACTGGAAGTTTTTAAGAAGAGACTGGACAGCCATTTGTCCAAAATGGTATAGGGTTTCCTGCCTGAGCAGGGGGTTGGACTAGATGACCTCCAAGGTCCCATCCAACTTTATTATTATTATTATTATTATTATTATTATTATTATTATTATTATTATTATTATTATTATTATTATTATTATTATTTATTCCTGTCAAGTGCAAGAACTAACTCTCAAAAATGCATCTCCAACCCTGGCATTTAAACATCTTTGAAGGCAAAGTGGTGGACCTCCAGATGTTCCAATGATGAAACAGTTCAACATACGGAAAGCTTTGCTGATGCTGTGACTGTAATAAAGATTAATTGAAATGATGGAAAAGTGCACAGTGACCACTCCTGAAGAGGTCCTTCAGTCTTCTTTCTTGAGGAGCAATGGTGAGAAAAAAAAAATATTTGGTGATGACAATACGCATCCAATGTATGGTGTGGATACCCTAGGATCATATCAAGCATTGTGAAGAATTTAGGCAATTGTAACTAATTTTTAAAAACACAGTAGCATCAGGTAAGGTAGAGCAAAAGTTCTAGCTTTGAGAAGTGGTCCAGCATTCTAACAAAAGGGGGGACATGAATAATTGACGCATCATAGCCAAGAGAGGATCCTGGAAAACAGATGCTACAGGATGAGGATGAGTAACATAAGGCAATTAAGTCAAGATTCCACCTTGATCATGAGGAAGATAAGGAAATCTACCAAAGAGGGAAACCTAACTAAGTTTTAAGGAGTTGGGCAACTTTCTAAATCTAATAAAAGTAAGTTAAATAAAATGAAATTTGGGGTGGATGAAGGTGGCCCTTATTGAGATCCACCAGCCACAGGCTCAACAGATTACCCCAAAAGTCACCTCTGGTGAGCCCACATCTAAGGCTGGAATTAAAGATGACCAAATTTGGCTTCCTGGAAAATTTAGCTTCCTGGGCTAGGAATACCTTTGAATCCAACACCTTTCACCTGGAGAGGAAGCAGAAAAAGCCAGCAGCACACAACTCCTGTTCCTTTTCTCCACTCCCTTATGCCAAATAGCGAGGGTTTGGGTGTGCCTCTCCTGTGTACTAAGGTGTGTATGTGTGTGTTGTATAGGGGGGGAGAGAGAGTAGAACGCATCTGAATGGAGGTTTCGGGATCTGGAGGGAGCAAGGGAGAAGATAAAATAAGACAACCTTTATTGTCATTTTTTTTTTTACTGTGGGCACAAGGGCACACATCAAAAATGAAATTTAGTTGCCCGCTCTCAAAGTGAAACGCATACACGACATACACCTAAACATACTATGTACAACCTATGTATAGACCAGTGGTGGCGAACCTATGGCACGCGTGCCAGAGGTGACACTCAGAGCCCTCTCTGTGGGCACGCGTGCCGCTGTCCCAGCAGAGTTCGCCAGAGTAGCGAGCACGTGGCGTTTGGAACCAACAGGGCAGGAAGTGAGCAAGCAAGCGGAGTTGCCCGCCCCCCCAGGGATGCCCCGGAGATGGCAAGGGACTGGCCCCAGCCACACTCACCCAGTCTGCCGTGACCACTGCAGCCACACCGACCCAGTGGGCCATACACACCTGCCCCCCACCCTGAGGGCACCACAATGCTGATGCAGCCCTGGCACTTTGCAATAAATAAGTGGGTTTTGGGTTGCAGTTTGGGCACTCGGTCTCTTGCTTCCAGAAGTGGTGAATGCTCCAACACTGGAAGTTTTTAAGAAGAGACTGGACAGCCATCTGTCTGAACTGGTATAGGGCAGGGGTTGGCAACCTTGGCTCTTTTATGACTTGTGGACTTCAACTCCCAGAAGGTTGCCTACCCCTGGTATAGGGTTTCCTGCCTGAGCAGGGGGTTGGACTAGATGACCTCCAAGGTCCCTTCCAACTTTATTATTATTATTATTATTATTATTATTATTATTATTATTATTATTATTATTATTATTATTATTAATTATTATTGATCATCGCATAGTCAGCCAGATGTTCAGACTGGATTTGGCATTTTGTCTACCTATCGAGTCCTTACCCAGGACCTGGGATAGGCAGATGTGGATGTTTGATGGTATTACAGATATCGTCGCAGGATGGAAGCAGTTCCTAGTAAGGCCGCCTTTTGCAATTGACTAATAGCGAATTTGTCAATGCCAATGATGGTGTTCAAGTGGTGCTCCAGTTGTTTTGGGATTGCATCCAAGGCACCTATGACTATTGGTACTACCCTTGCTTGCTTTTGCCACAGTCTTTCTATTTCTTTGTATATTATTATTATATTATTACTATTACTATTACTATTACTATTACTATTATTATTATTATTATTATTATTATTATTATTATTTTTACTATTATTATTACTATTATTATTATTTATTATTATTATAATTATTATTACTATTATTATTTATTATTATTATTATTATAATTATTATTAATTATTATTATCATCATCATCATCATCATCACTCTGCCACCCAACCTCTGTTGCCACACGGCCTCTCCTATCCCCCCCCCAGCCGCTCCCCCTCCGCGGGATCGGGACCCCCTTTTGCGCCAAGCAGGCGACAGAGCAGAGCGCGCAACCCAGGCCGGCGGGGAGGCGTCGCTGCGCCGGCCTCGGAGATGCCAAGGAGGCGCTCCCGAGGAAGAGGAGGAGGAGGGGATTCAAAAGTGACTTTCTCCTCTTTCCCCGGGGCTAAGCCCCTCCCACCGGCCCACGGCCCCGCCCCCGAGCTCCTTGGCACGTCCCCGATTGGTGGGCAGGGCCGGTGCCTTTGAAGTGCGCTGCAGACCGGAGCTATTAGACGCGCGGCTCGGGGAGAGGAAGGACTTTTTTTTTTTTTCCTCTCTCTCTCTCTCTCTCTCTCCCTCCTCCCCTCCGTCTCTCGCCGGGGCCGGTGCGGTCGTCCTCGCCGGTGCCGCCGCCGGTGCCGCCGCTTCCCCGACGCGCCCGGCCCGGTTTTCCGCGCCTCTCCCCCCCCTTCTCCCCCCTCCCCAGCCCTGCCCTACCCCACCCCCGCCCTGCCCGGCTCGCTCCCCCAAATGAGCGGCGGTTCGCCCGCTGGATCTAACGCAAGGACATCGCCCAGCGGCAGCAGCGGAGGAGGAAGAGGCGGCGGAGGCGGCGGAGGAGGAGGCGAAGGCTCGGCCGCCGCCTGGTCAGCCCAGCCCTCCGGAGCCGCGTGCCCGGCGCTCTCGCACCTGTCCCCGGAGGACCCCCTGCGCCAGGCCAACCGGCTCCCCATCCGGATCCTGAAGATGCTGAGCGCCCACAGCGGCCACCTCCTGCACCCGGAATACCTGCAGCCGCTCTCCTCCACGCCCGTCAGCCCCATCGAGGTCAGTGCCAAGTCCGAGCCGCCTTCCCCGGCTCGCTCGCCCGCAGAGCCCGGGCCTTTTCTCGCCGCCGCCGCCGCTTCTGCCCTCGGCTCTCGGCCACGGCGCGCCTTCCCAACTGCTTTCCCCGGGGCGGCGGAGCCCCCCCCCCCATCCCCCCACCCCCCAGCCCTTTACGAGGCGCTTCCCGGAGCCCCCCCCCTCCATCTCCACCTCCGTTCCCCCTTAGCTCGGGGACTTCTCTGTACCCCGCTTGCAGGCGCCCCACTTTTGTGGACGGCTGGCACAGGGGCAGCCTTAAGCCCGAGCTGGCTTGGCTGGCCTGCGGATGGCAAGGGCTCAAGGACTGGGGGTGGGGGGGTGGGGAGGGGGGCGGACGAAAGAAAGAAAGAAAGGTGCGTTACGGTCTTGGGCACCTTCTTCCCCAACTTTGCGCCGCCGTTTTCATTCTACCGCTTCGAAAAGGAGGGTGCAAAGGGGCGCCTGCAGGGGGGGGGGGTTGATATCAAACGAGCCCGGGGAGAGGAAAAGGTCCCATTTTGGGCGGCGGGGGGAGAGGACTTCTGTCCTCCGACTCCCACTCCGGGGTCCGCGGCTGCACGTCGGAAGGCGCCCAACCCGTAGCGCGGATGACCCTACAGCGGGGATGAGAAGCGGGGAAGGGGAAAAAAAAAAGCAATTCCTAGGTTGGGGGACGGACGGACGGGTGGCAGGGAATTTTCCAGCCATCGGACTGGAAAACTCTCGTCCCTCGGGAGATGCGGGCTGGGTCTGGGGCGCCCCGGGACCCCCCTCGCCTCGCCCGGCTTTTCTCACGCGCCTTTTCCTCTCTCTCTCTCTCTCTCCTTCCTCCCCGCAGCTGGACGCGAAGAAGAGCCCCTTGGCGCTGCTGGCGCAAACCTGCTCGCAGATCGGGAAGCCGGATCCGCCGCCCGCTTCCAAACTCAACGCCGGCGCGGCCGCCGGGCTGTCTGGGCCGGATAAGGAGTCGAGCGGCCGCGCCTCCGGGGCCGGAGCCGGCAGCTCCCTCGCCAAGCAACTGGGCGACGCGCCGGCCGAGGATAAGTCGAGCTTCAAGCCCTATTCCAAAGGCGGCGGCGGCGGAGGAGGAGGCGGCGGAGGAGGCGGAGGAGGAGATCCGCGGAAGGACGGCAGCCTCCCGTCGAGCCAAGCCGGGCCGGGCGCGGAGAAGAACGGCTTCCGAGTGCCCAGCGCCGCCTGCCCGCCTTTCCCTCCGCTCTCCGCCGCCTCGTCCTCGTCCACCGCCTCCTCCACCTCTCCGGGCGGCTCCAGGGGCAATTCCCCGCAGCAGGCGGACTGCCGAGGCGGCCCCGACGACAAGAAGGAGTCGGAGATGGCGGCCAAAGGCAGCCCAGACGGCGCGCAAGGAGGCGGCGGCGGCGGCGGCGGAGGGAGCAGCCGCTCGGGCGCCGGCAGCGTGGAGCCCGGGGCGCCAAGCGAGCCGTCTTCTGGGCGCAAGTCGGAGCCTCCGGCCTTGGCGGGCCACGTGGCTCCGGTGTCTCCTTACAAGCCGGGCCACTCGGTCTTCCCTCTGCCCCCCTCCGGCATCGGCTACCACGGCTCCATCGTGGGCGCGTACGCGGGCTACCCTTCCCAGTTCGTGCCCGGCTTGGATCCTACGAAGGGCGGCTTGGTGAGCGGCGGCCAGCTGCCGGGGGCTTTGGGGCTGCCGGGGAAGCCCCCCAGCTCCAGCCCGCTGACGGGGGCCTCGCCGCCTTCCTTCATGCAGGGATTATGCCGAGACCCCTACTGCCTGAGCTACCACACCGCCTCCCACCTGGGCACGGGCAACTGCTCCAGCTGCGTCCACGACCCGGGCAGCTTGAAAAGCGCCTACCCTTTGGTCTACCCCAGCCACCCGCTCCACGGCGCCCTGTCCTCCGGCGCCACGACGGGCCTCTCCGGCCACTCGCTCTACACCTACGGCTTCATGCTGCAGAACGACGCCCTGCCCCACATATGCAACTGGGTCTCGGCCGGCGGACCTTGCGACAAGCGGTTCGCCACCTCCGAGGAACTGCTGGCTCATTTAAGGACCCACACGACTCTGCCCGGGGCGGAAAAACTTCTGGCTGGTTACCCTACCTCGGGGCTGGGCTCCGGGGCGTCGTGCCACCTCCACCTGCCGCCTGCCGGCCCCGGCAGCCCCGGTTCCTTACCCGGATCTCTGTCGTTGAGAAGCCCGCAGACTTTGGGACTAAACCGCTACCATCCCTACGGCAAGAGCCACTTGCCGACGGCCGGGTCCTTGCCGGTGGCTTCCTTGCCTGCAGCTGGACCCTACTACTCCCCCTACGCCCTTTATGGCCAAAGACTAACCTCAGCTTCTGCACTTGGATATCAGTAACTCCAGCGGCCCCCCCTGCCCTGCCCTGCCCTGCCCTCTCTGGCGACCCGGCCTCGCCTCCACGGAGTGTGTATTTATTTCCTGTATGTTAGCTTAAAGCTGGGAAAATAAGTGCATTAATACACCAATGAATCAATGGTATGCAAAACGTCTGTGTCCCCCCCCCTCGCCCCCCGCAACCCACCCTCTCCAAAATCTGACCCACTCTTTTATCTTTTTTTTTTTTAAGCAAAATGTTTGTGTCCGTGGGGTGGGGTGGGGTAGGGGAAAGTTTCCTTGTCTTTTCTGCCCCCCCCCTTTAAATATTGTTTTGTTTTGTTTTTAAAGAAAGCTTTGCTCTGAGCCGCAGGGAGCACCTGGCATGATGTTCAGCAAAATGCTTTTCGTCCTTCTCCCTGCTTTTTTTCTACCCCCACCACACACACACATACACACACTTTTTTTTTTAAGTTTGGTTCTATTCTTGGTTTCGGTTTCTTTGGCTTTTTGTATAGTAACTGGAAAGTTGGGTTTTTGTTTTTTGTTTTTTGTCTTGTGAAAGAGAGGAAGGAAGGAAGGAAGGAAGGAAGGAAGGAAGGAAGGAAAAGAAAGAAAGAAAGAAAGAAAGAAAGAAAGAAAGAAAGAAAGAAAGAAGTCAGATTGGCTGGGAAATTAATGGCAGGCTTTGTTGTAACTGCGGAAGCGGAAGGAAGGAGGGGTGGTGTTTGGACTCACCCTGTGACTGGGATGCTGCTGGCATTGGGCTGGCGGTGCTGAGAGCTTGGTTGGGGTACCGCATAGAACCCATCTCTCCTGCCTCCTCTGCGGAAACCAAATCTCCTGGGCTCTCAAGAGTGAGCAGAGAGGCCCTAAACAAAAAGGAGAGCATTCAAGCACTGGAATTTTCGGGGTGAAACTGAAGCCCCTTCCCATAAAAAAAAGGGGGCGTGCAAGCTTTCCACCAGTGGGGTATCTTTCACACTTATTTTATTTTTGCTTTGGCTTTCTTTCTTTCTTTTTCTTTCTTTTTTGTTCTCTCCCCTCCTTCCACTCCACCCACCCACCCACCCACCCTGCTTTCTCTCTCTTCACAAGACCCGAATTTTAAGGAAATTAGCAAGCATCCTTGAGGGACTGGAAGAGAACGAGATTCTTTCTTTTATACGCCAAATGAGGAACTTGGAGAACCTTTTGCTCAGTCTGGTTTCAAGCTGGATCGGCAAGTCTAGCTAGTGGCCCTTGGGGGCCTCTCTATCTTTGTCTGTAGGCTCCAATCTACATACCAAAAAAAAACCCCAACCATCAACCAACGGGAAAAAAAAATCACTTGCCCTTATTTCCTAACGACCCTGTCGCCCACTTTTCTCTTGACCTGTGGGAATGGAACAGCTGTTAAGGTGCGGCGACCCCCCTCCCCAAATTCCAGAACTAACTGCAGCACGGAAGGCTGCAGATCTTTTGGGGTGAATAGAACTCTTCCCTCCTGGTAAGTCTTATTTTGTTAATAAATGAATACTTGCTATATCTACCCCATCGCGTCTGCTCTTTTGCATTCTCCCTTCGCCTTCCTGCGTTTACACCTTCCCCTTGGCTGGCTGGGTGGCTGGCTGGCTGGCTGGGCCTTGGAAATTCAAAGACGACAGTCCAAAGGATGGCCAAAAACCACGAAACCAAGTCCTTTGTTTTTAAATGAGAGGACTGACTGAACCGGTGGAAGTGGAGAGATCCCAGTCATCAAGCCAGCCTATTGTTCATCCGCTTGTGGTTTCTGGTTTAGTGCATTGGGCAAGCACAGCTGATTCGGCCTGCCATTCTGAGAAGGGAAGGCCGCTTGTGAGTCTGGCCTGTTCCGTGGGGGAAACCGAGGCAAGATTGTTCCGATCGGGAATTGCAGGGGAAGGAGAAGCATTTGGGCCCCTGGCCCAGCAGGACAGATCCACATAATACCTTTGTCTCTGGTGTGCTACCTTTCTTTCTGCAAAGATCAGAAGGGACAGGGGGGGGTGTGTGTTCCAAAGCAATGTGCCTGCACCACTTTGTGTTCCTTATAGCCCGCAACTGCCACCTCAGCAATCTGAAATGCTTCATTCTGCTGAATGGGTAAAGTCTGCCTGCAGCTGCTCTCTCTCCGCTAAGTGTTTCTCTTGAGCTAACTCTATTCGGTGGAGTGGCGAGTTCTCGTTATAGGAAATATATACCAATTGAANAAGACTTTTTAAAAGGGGGGGGGGAGAGAAACAGAGTTTGAAAAAAACCTTCCCTGGGAAATGGAGCGCGGAAAGGCTGCAGCACCACCTCGTGGCGGAGAAAAGTAAACGCTTTTGCATCCTCTGAGAATGCTGTTCTGGTTATTTATGGATAAAGACACCGTGCTAAGAACAATATGTTTTATTATCAGGACTTTGGCACATTTTTCCCAAAGGCACCAAAGTGCTGAAGGATTTAACTTTCTGCTGTTACGATTTTAATTCAGGTTTGTTTGGGTTTTTTTTAAGAGTCCAGCTTCATCCATCTTGAGAACTCCGAAGGGAGGGGATATATGTACAGTATATATTTTTCTCTTTTCCTCCTCCTTCTCCTCTGGATCCATTGCCCCAAGTCTCAGATCGTTCCGCAAGGTTTTAAAATCTCAGTTGGGGTGTCCTTTCGCACGGCACTAGTTGGCTTTTGCACTGAAGCACATTGGGATGTGCAAAGTCAGCCTTTTCCCCCAGCGTAACCCTTGGGTTTGTCCTAAAGATGCTTTTCTTCAAAAGGCAAACTGGACTTTTGTTTTTCCTAGAAGACGTTTCGCGTCTCATCCAAGGAGCTTCTCCCATTCTTACTAAATGGTGGAGAATTGAAGAAGCTTCTTGGATGAGAAGTGAAACGTCTTCAGGGAAAAACAAAAGTCCAGTTAGGCCTTTTGAAAAAAGCACCTTTGGGACATCTATATGACCTGGATGACTGAGGATCTCCATAGACCATCCCTGTGGTTTCCATGCCATAGGTGAACTGGGACTTTTTGGGGATGATTTGCAAGCCTCAGCTCTGGGGTGCCTGGCCTGTGGGAAATAGGAAAGTACTTGCATTTGACTGAAGGGACTCAGTACTAGGGATATCCAGTGGTGAGTCAGTTGAATAAGTTTTGCTTGGGTGTTCTTTTACTTCTCCCATGATACCCGTCTGCTTTGTGCATTGTGCAAGAAACGGCTTTTCCAATCCAGGTGTATTGGAAGTCAACTGCTAATGCCCCTACCTGGTAGATCTTCTGCCAGGAGTTAGACTGCAGGACTGAGTATCTTCTACCATAGTTGAAGGATGCTTGTGACAATCTCCATCTTTTCTTTGTTTTCCTGAGCAGGTAGGCAGGGACCACAAAGTAGACCCAGCTGTAAGTTGGTCATAAATTTGCTCTTTACCAGAACGGGATCTTTTTCTTTCTTTCTTTCTTTCTCTTTCTTTCTTTCTTTCTTTCTTTCTTTCTTTCTCTCTTTCTTTCCTTCCTTCCTTCCTTGCTTCCTTCCTTTCTTTCTTTCTTTTTGAGGCTGCTTAATTCAGAGTGGAGAATTTGAAGGCTGCTGAAATGTTGCTAAAATGCCATTTTCTGCAGCCTCAGTCAGGGTAGCCAGTAATGAAGAGTGCTAGGAGTTGAATGTCCATCAACATCTGGAGAACTACGAGTTCTCTCCCTGTACTGTAGTAAGGAGGCTTCAACCTGGATAATTTTTCAAGCATTTGAAAAACTACTGCCATATCGACACTTCTCCCAGAAGCTAATTGATGACCTGGAGGATGGTCTTGCTTTTTAAGATGCAAAAAAATGACTTAAGATTAACAGATTTTATTGGAGACAATTGTGGATGTCAATCTGTAAGAATGGTAGTAACTGCCATTATCCATCTAGGATGGTTCTCAGTGCTCAGTTTTGTTTATAACCAGCCTTCCACAACCTGGGCATTGCCAAATGTGTTGACTTAACTCCCAGAATTCTCAGCGGCAATGACTGAAATTTATATCCACACATTAGAGTGAACTCAGAATTGAGTAAGATCTACCAATCTGTAGAGTATAGAGTAGGGATTATTTTTAGCGAAACCTGGAAATGAAAGGAATTGAACTCTGAATCTACTTCATACAAAGCAGAGGTTCTACAGTTGAGTGATGAGGGTTCTTCCATCACATTTTAAATACTTGTAGTAGGGGGTGCCATATTTCAAACAGTATTGCCCTGCTAATGAAGTCAGATGAAACTACTCTCTGTTTATATGGTTGGGGACAGGAGAGATGAGCATAAGTGCTTGGGTTCAAAGATGACTTTTCAAAGATAAAATGTCTAAAATGCTGTAGAGCTTCCAGCTCAGGTTTATAGCTACTCGCAAATGTGTATCTAGCTGCGTAGGTGATATTCGTTTTTAATTCTCAGAGATTGCCCCATTAATTGGGCTTAGCAACATATCTTTAAGCTAAGATAAAATGAGATTAATTTTATTAATTAATAAATCATCATTTTAGCATGTTGCGTGACAGGCAATCAGGTTATGCTGCAATATGATTGATGGAATGTTGTGGGAAGTCAGGAATTGAGGGCTTATGTAGGGGAGTTAAATGAACTCAGCCAAGTGTCTGTTTAGGCACCTTGAAAAAGATAAGATAACACCAAGGAACTTTCTGCAGAGCGAGCTGTTGTCTGCAATGATTCCTCCATAGCTTGGACTAAATTCAGTTACAGAAGAGATTTCCTTTCCCCTTTCCTTTCCTTTCCTTTCCTTTCCCTTTCCTCCTTTCCTTCCTTCCTTTCTTTCTTTCTTTCTTTCTTTCTTTCTTTTTCTATCTTCTTCCCCTCCCTCTCTTCCTTCCTACCTTCCTTCCTTCCTTCCCTCCCTAGAGAGGTTTGAAACTGCACCTTCCATGACCTTCTCATCCACAGGGCTCTTTCAGTTTCTGTCCAGATGGCCACTGAAGTCCGGATCCTCTGGAGGGTTTCAGGACTGCCTCACCCTGTTCTAAACAAAGCAGAAGTGCTTGTTCTTTGACGCGCGGAATGGCCACCGTGC